TTTCCACCAAATCATATACTGCATTATTCTAATCTTAGGCGATTGTCAAGCAACATAGTAACTATGTGTGCCGTTGCAGTGCAAATGAAATGAAAGCTACATGCTGTATTGTGTGGTTAGTACTTATCAAACACCACTGACTCACTGCTCCTGGCTGGAAACTTTAGTAGCTAATAGTAAATGTTTCACACTGGACAAAAAGCAGCGCCTCGTGTGGTAGGAGGGAAAAGCATGAGTATTGCACAAAAACACCTCATTCAAACAAGGTTAAGTTCAGCTCCAAATGAGATTGTTTTACTTGTAAGCCCCACTTACAAGCACTTCTTCAAATATAAAAAGTGACCACAATGACTTTTAAAGATAAAAAGATGCAACTTTGCAAAATGAACGAATAGATAGGGCAACGTTTTTCATGCAAATTCTCTATTAGTAGCCTATAGGCTTTATCAAATCACACAAAAACTGTTACAGAAAAAAAAACATCTATATACAACATATCATCTAGCCTACATTGAAAGTTTTGTTTTAGACCGAAATGAATGTAAAATGATGAGCATATAGTAATGAAAGAAGGAAACACGCAGCTTTTCACTTCACAAGGTGCTATTTTATGAACTGTATGGATTACTTGTGGATTATTGTGATGTTTTTATCAGCTGTTTGGACTCTCATTCTGACGGCACCCATTCACTGCAGAGGATCCATTGGTGAGCAAGTGATGTAATGCTAAATTTCTCCAAATCTGTTCAGATGAAGAAACAAACTCCTCTACATCTTGAATGGCCTGAGGGTGAGTAAATGTTCAGCAAATGTTCATTTTGGGTCAATAATTCTTTAACTGTTTAAGTTGCACAATCAAAAAAAGAAAAAAAGTCAGTTTGTAGGGCAGAATTGTTTAGATTAACTAGTACAGCAGAAGTACTTGAGTTGAGACACCATCTTTAACCTCAATCAGTATTTCCACATCCTATTTTCGTTGTTTCTTTCACCTCCTCTCAAATCTGTTATATAAATCTCCTAATCATCCTCTCTCAGATTTGTCCTTTAATTGCTCTACTGCAGTCGTCTGTGTACACTACAATGTTTCACTGTGGGAATGAAATGAATCCAATATGCAAAAAAAACAAAACAAATTTAGAGACAAAAAAAAAGAGATGGTAAAAAAAGAATTAAATTTGGGAAATGATCTCTGATGAGTTTCCCAGCAGGAAAAGCCCCTCCCCGCTTCTCATTCTCTTTCATCCACACTGTTGTACACTCTTCTCCTTGATCTATCCGTTTCTCCCTCTTTTTGATTCTCCAGTGTCCACATTTGTTCTTTCAGAAACACCACATGCATTTCTCTCCTACGCGCAATTCCTCCACTAATGAGTTAAAATGAGGCAAAACACACAAATCACGCGAAACACCTAAACACACTCACACACATACGTGCACACTCGACTTCTCAAAAATGAATACAGACCTTGAGGTCCTTGGGAAAATAAAATATTGAATAGTTGCTTCCAATATGCATGTCTACACTTGGAGGATATTGTAACATCTAAATGGACCTAAGTGGCTCCTTTGTGTTTGTAGAGCAAAGGCTGTGATGGGTATGAATCACTTAAAGCAATCGTAAATGCACCTCTAGCACTGGTTGAAAAAAAAAAAAACAGTCTACATTACAGTTAAAAAATGTGGAGTCTGTAAGACTTTTATATGTTTTTGAAAGACGTATCTTATACTTACCAAGGCTGCATTTACTATAGTAAAATCAGTAATATTGTGAAATATTTCAACTAACTGTTTTCTATTTAAATATATTTTGAAATGTAATTTATTCCTGTGATGCAAAGCTGAATTTTCAGCAGCCATTACTCCAGTCTTCAATGTCACACGATCCTTTAGAAATCATTCTAATATGCTGATATGTTGAAAACAGTTGGGCTCCGTAGTATTTTTGTGGATTTTTTTTTTTTCAGGATTTTTTGATGAATAGAAAGTTCAAAAGAACATCAGTTATTTTAAAAATTGACATCATTTGTAACATTATAAATGTCTTTGCTGTCACTTCTGATCAATTTCTGATCAATCAATTTAATACATCCTTGCTGAATAAAAAAGTTTTAACTTTTGAACAGTATACTGTTTAACAGTATACTATAGTATTTCTTATCGTTTATTATTGGTCATTTAGTGGTATTTTTTATTTATTAATTTTTTTATCTTAAAAAATGGGCTAACAAATGCAATTTCCTGTCCTGTGTAGACATTTTTTTTTATATAAACAAGACATTTTTAGCCAAAATAGCGAAAAAGCTTTAGTTTACATGACAAAAACATTATTCACTACTATTGCTAGTCGACTGCAAGTGGTAAAGACAATTTCTAGAAGGCATTTTATTGGACAAAAATATATTTTGGAGTTCAAGCGGTACTGTTGTCTTTGTAATTTCTGGGATATCTTTGGATTTGGGATAATAATTATTCAAAAAATGTGAAGTAGAATCTGTGTTCACACTTGTGTCAGACAACAAAACTGGAGTCGCTATGAAAACATGATTCACTCCTATTGCTAGTCAACTGCAAGAGGTAGAAAGCATTTCTATGAGGACTTTATTGGACAAAAATGTATTTTGGAATTCTGGCTGAGAGGCGGTTCTGTTGTCTTTGTGATTTCTGGGATGTTTTTGATTTGGGATAATTATTATTCATAAAACGAGAAGCAGAATCCGTGTTCACACTTGTGTCAGACAACAAAACTGGAGTCACTATGAAAACATGATTCACTCCTATTGCTAGTCGATTAAAAGTGGTAGAAAGCATTTCTACGAAGATTTTATTGGACAAAAATTGTATTTTGGAATTATGGCTGAGAGGCTGTTCTGTTGTCTGTGAATTCTGGGATATTTTCGATTTGGGATAATAATTATTCATAAAACGTGAAGTAGAATCTGTGTTCACACTTGTGTCAGACAACAAAACTGGAGTCACTGTGATTCACTACTACTGCTAGTCGATTGCAATTGGTAGAGAGCATTTCTAGAAGCCATTTTACTGGACAAAAACTGCATAAAAACTATAAATCTACTACATTAATTTTGTAAACGTTTAAAAGTATGCTTGCTTACAGGTTAACCTCAAAGCTAACAGAAATAGACTAGACTCTCATTTTGATTTCATGAGGTCTCAACCTGCACTGCAACATCTAACCCAGCCTATTTGTCATGTTAAACAACCCAAAGATTCAGTAGCTATACAACAAATCCAATAGGAAAGTTCCTAGTTCATACATCAACGTCAGTCCTTGTGTCTGGCCTCGTGTTTCGCCTCGCAGCACTGCAACGGTCAAGTTTAGCTTTGTCTCCGAGACGGTTGCTCTCCACTCAGCCATAACTGATTCACAATGCAGTTCGCGCACAGGTAAACGGCACATCGTGATGAACAGCAACACTGACAACAGCATGTCGTGGCCCATCGAATAAACATTTACTCGGATACAGTGTCAGCACAGTGACAGGCAGAGAAGCGGATGCAACATTTATGAGGTGCTCTCTCTGGATCTCGTGTTGGTTTAGTGCCAGACTCCTTAAAGCCTTGTGTTCTGTATAAGCAGCTGGCAAACTTACTCAGTGTGAATCGCAGCTAATGCGATCCATCCAGTGCAGCTCATTACCGCAGAGCGTGTGCGAGCATCTGGGTTTTTTAGTGCATGCCTTTGTCTGTGCATGCGTTTCTAAATGTGACCAGCGAGCATGTAATTGCGTTTTGCAGTCTTTTTTCTGGCGACATCTAATAATTACTGTCCAAGTCCCATGTTTAATAAACTCAGAGGTAATGCAATAGGCTTGATTTATTTATAACAGAACTTTCCAAATGGACCTTATAAGCAACCCGCTTAGCAACGAGGAGAGTGTGGGCTTGTTTGCAAGCTTAAAACTTTTTGAAAAATTCAATATAACCTTAAAGGAATAAACATACTGTAACCAAAAGTTTGGAAAAATAGGATTTTTTAAAAATGTTTTGGATAGTCTCTTATGCTCACCAATTTGATTGAAAAAAATATATATTTTTTTATCTTATTAGAATTTAAAATAACTGTTTTCTATTTGAATCAGTCTAATATGCTGATTTGCTGCTCAAGAAACATTTGTAAGAATCTTGAAAAAAAAATGTTTCATCATTTTCACAAAAAGCAAAAACTGTTTTCAACATTGATAGTAATAAGTACCCTTTTTAAAATTTAAACACCAATAATAACTGATAATAATCGAGCAGCAAATCAGCATATTAGACTGATTTCTGAAGAATCATGTGACACTGAAAACTGGAGTAATGATGCTGAAAATTCAGTTTTGCTTCACAGGAATAAATTACATTCTAAAATGTATTCAAATAGAAAAGAGTTCTTTTTAAATTGTCATTTTTCATAGTATTTCACAATATTACAGTTTTACTGTATTTTGATTATTTAATTATTCCAAACTTTTGACCAGTAGTGCGTATACATTTTTTCATCTTGCATTTCTTTTTTGCTCACAAAAGGCATTTTCTTTGAAGACACTGTGTATGAACAATGACAAACATTTTTCAAAATATCTTCTTTTGTGTTCCACAGAAGACAGAGTCGTACAGGCTTGGAACAACATGAGGATTCATGAATGAGTCAGTAAATGACAGAATGATAATTTTTCAGTGTTCTACTCCTTTAAAGACAACAATTTCCTGGTCTTATTGTGAACAATTTGTCAATGCACATTATTCCAAAGAATATGTATTTGTAATTCTTCCTATCACAGTTTCAACCAAAACCTCTTCTGAAAAGACTTTTCTTTACATCTTATGTAACCAAGCCATTTTATTTTTCATTTTGAATAACTTGTTTCACTCAATACGTTGGGTTACAGAAGTAAAATGAGTTGCAAACACGTTTCATCAAATGAAAAAGTTATTTTAAATTCATTATTTTAAATTAGCATGCAAGCATAAACAATGAATTATACAAATGTATACCTTACCCGTCCAATCAGCACCGGTTCTGGTCCACTATATTCCTCTATCACAAAAAACTGGTTCCAGATCCAGCTTCTTCGGCTGCGGGATTGTGAAGGCATCTCCTCCAAATTTGGTCCAGTAAAGGTCCCTTGGAAATCACCACTGCTGTCTGACTCCTGGTTGCCCATCATTATAGTTTGCACTTCCCGTTTGCTATTTAACCCAGATGCTGTCTTCAGAAGTATCACGCTGGCATCTGATGAGCCATACAGAGTGGATCTGTCAGTTTTAGTTTCCTCTACTGCAGGAGTTAGTTCAGCGAGAACGAAACGATCGTGAGATATTCTATATATTTTGGAGTCCTGGGTTAGTGTTGATACCGTTGTCTTTGTGATTTCAGGGATATCTTTGAATTTGGGATAATAATTACTTTCATTATATGGAGCAGAATCTGTGTTCACACTTGTGCCAGACAACGAAACTGGAGTCACTCTGATTTCAAATTCCGATTTTGCAGTTTCTTCAATCTGTGCATGATGCAGTCCTGATAAAGACACTGTTTTGACTTTGTTGCTTTTTGGTGAAATCATCAAATTATCCTCATTTTTCTTTGCCAAACTTTGTGTTCCTGCTGTGTTGGTAAATGGCATCTCACTTTGCCTTTCCTCCACATCTAGATGCTCCACCTCACTTTCTTTCCTTGCGGTTTCCTCACTCTTCCATCTTTTTAGTCGAGCACTGCTTCCCCCGAGCTCTGAGCACATGAACAGAAAGAGCAATGCAGCCCAGATACGGCCACTCATCGTGCCTCACTTCGTTATTAGTCACAATGTTTGCCACAGGGGGAAGAACAATAAGATCGACCTTCACTCACGCTCTGTCTTGCTGTGTGGGCAGATGCTCCATTCATCTCCTCTTCTTAATTCCTTATTCTTCATGAATCTCAGTGGTCATTTAGCATCGTATCCACTTTTTTGGATTATATTTCTCTCTTTAGGTCTGGTTAAACACAAAGGGCGATTCCCATGGTTTGGGTTTGATCAGGCAAACCTGTTCAAAGAGATAAGAGGATGAGAATCAGTGCTGATCATGAATAAACGTAATTGGGATTGGCGGTTGGGATTACTGGAAAAATAGCACAGTTTTAATTAGGTAACAGTTTGGGTCTCTGCAGAGAATCATGGGTACAGAAATGTGCATGACTAGCAAGGGTTCATAAAACTTTTAATCACTTAAAATCTGGGACTGCTCCAAAGAAGTCCTCCAAAGCTGAGTGGTTAAAAAAAAAAAAAAAAAAGTGGTTAGTTTCTATTGCTTATCCAAAATAAGGTAAATGAGTCTTTAAGAGCAAAGATGTTACATTTAAATTGAGGAAGAAAAAAATGTGATTGAAAAACTTTTTCATTATTTTTCATTACTGTTTTGTGATATCCTGATTTCTTTTTTATCTATTTATAAAGTAAATTTCACAGTACATTTCAAATAATTTTAAAACAGATTTTTAGAAAAATCATGATAATATCTTATTATCTTCAAGCCCAATAGTCAAATTGAGTAGATTAGAGTTGGGCGATAATATAGTATATATAATAATATAGATAATATAACTCTGAAGTGAAGTTACGTGTGGCCAAGTATGGTGACCCATACTCAGAATTTGTGGTCTGCATTTAACCCATCCAAGTGTGCACACACACCCGGAGCAGTGGGCAGCCAATGCTGCGGTGCCCGGGGAGCAGTTGGGGGTGCGGTGCCTTGCTCAAGGGTCACACCTCAGTCATGGTATTGAGGGTGGAAGAGAGCATTCACTCCCCCCACCTACAATCCCTGCCGGAGCTGAGACTCAAACCCGCAACCTTCGGGTTACAAGTCCGACTCTCTGTCCATTAGGCCACGACTGCCCCCCATTTTGCAATGATACAATATAGTAGGCTATATATCACCCTACATGTTTATACATATGTAAATAAAGTCGGACATACATATGAAATTTTAGATTAAAAAAACTGGACGATGATACAGTTGACATTTTGCAATCCTACAAGCAATCATGCAGTTGACATTTGCAGCTTTGCTACCAACAGTCTTCAAAATACCTTCTTTTATGTTGTGCAAAAGAAAGTAAGTCATTCAGGTTTGAAACAACATGAGGGTGAGTAAATGATGACAGAATATATTTATTTATTTATTTATTTGCGTTGAACCATTCCTTTGATGGTTTTTTTTTTTTATTTATTTATATTTTTAATAAATTAAATGATACTCTAAAGAGGAAATTAAAACTACCAGCAGGTGGCGGTAAATGTCTTTATGAGTTGATTCGTTCAAAACGCTGATTCATTCAGAAAATAAACACCGTGTTGCTTGGAGACACACAACAGATCTGCTGTGGCTTTATAGGTAATATTTTAATTGGAAATATTTAACAAAAACACAATATTGTGTTTAAAATATAACACAATATTAACTTCTTATTTACTGAACTGTTGTATCAAATCACATTTGCACTCGTGCAAATCAGTACAAAAGCGGCACTCGTGTGATATTGCGCTCGCTGCTCGTGTGATATCGCTTATATAAATATGAGACAAAAAGATATGAGAGATATGAGACATACAGGGGCATTTTTCCCCCCAATATCTTGAATTTTAGGCATAACTGCATTTATGGAGTTGTAGCCCTGTATCATATATGTCAACAGTCAACTGTATGAAATGTAAGATGATGTACAGATCTGGGGGTGGGGCCAGTGCATTAACTGCATTCAAATATTTTAATCGCGTTATTTTTTCATAATTAATTAAGTTAACGCGTTAAACTTACAGTCCTAATACTGACATACAGAGCCGATCCTCCCTATATGCAAAATACGTAAGCTGCGTAGGGCCCCCGAAACACCAGGGGGCCCCTTGCTCTCAAAGATGATTTAATTTTAGTTTAGTTTTTGAATTTGGCCAGCGGTTATGAAAACACGAATGATCATTTATTTTAATGCGGTGCGCTGTCGCCCTTTCTACGTAAAAATCAGTCAAATCATGTAATGTGAATGTCGTACAGTCTTGCTCGAGACTAAAAAAACAAGTTAAAAGCGTACCGAGCCGCGGAAGAGACACTGTTTTTCAAGCGCTTTCCACGAGCACGATTCGAGACGGAGTGAAACACGGACAAATCCGTTTCGTTCATTCGTTCATAACCACTCATACCCCACTCCACCTCATAAATTACAATCTTGCACCTTTCCTGCAACTTTTTAACAGCTTTAGAAGCATAGACCAATATTGCAATATTCTTTAAACTGCTCTTGGACATCTCACAAACTTTATGTTCATGAAATGTAATTACTGGCATGAATTTTAGGTGGCTAAGCACTTTGAAACAGTCAATCACTTGGGTCTTGAAAATGTGTTGATTTGTGTGATTGAGCATTTTACAGGGCTGTTTCTAACTGTACGGACGAGGTTATTGCCGTCCATATTAAGGCTATTTCAGCCATTTTACATTCTGGCACCAAACCATATCCTCATTCACTTATGCAGCACATTTTTCGAGGCACATAGAGGCTCTAAACTGAAAACAACTCGACCATTTCAACAACCAATACTACCTTTAAACAAGACTATTTGTGAAAAACTGTCCTTTTAAAAAGTATTTTTAAAAAGTATTTTATAATATTTCAGCTGTACAACTGCTGTCCTTTACCACAAAGGTTTACTATTTAAAGGGTTACTCCACCCCAAAATGAACATTTTGTCATTAATCACTTATCCCTATGTAGTTTCAAACCCGTAAAAGCTTCGTTCGTCTTCGGAACACAATTTAAGATATTTTGGATGAAAACCGGGAGGCTTTTGACTGTCCCATAGACTGCATAGTAAATTGCACTGTCAAGGTCCAGAAAAGTATGAAAGACATCGTCAAAATAGTTGTATGAAAAAAAGTATGAGTTCACTAGCAGAGCATGATGCAAGTACGTAAACGCCGTGACCTGCTGACGTCGAGGCCATCGTACAGATCGAAAACCCGTATAGAATTTACGTCGTGTGTCATCTGAGGCGTGCTTGCATCATGCTCTGCTAATGAACTCATGAACACGCTTGCAGGAAGTGAGAAGAAAAAGTTGAATAAAGTCGATATTTAGTTTTCTTTGCGCACAAAAAAGTATTCTCGTAAAATGTTTTGCTTCATAAAATTACGGTTGAACCACTTATGGCAGATGGACTATTTTGACGATGTCTTTCATATTTTTCTGGACCTTGACAGTGCAATTTACTATGCAGTCTATGGGACAGTCACAAGCCTCCCGGTTTTCATCCAAAATATCTTAAATTGTGTTCCGAAGACGAACTGAGCTTTTACGGGTTTGGAACGACATGAGGGTAAGTGATTAATGACAAAATTTTCATTTTGGGGTGGAGTAACCCTTTAAGTGTTTAAATTCTAGCTTTACTATCTTTGTGAAAAAGACGTACACTTTAGCATACTTTTCACTTAATATGGAAATAATATACCTAAGTGCAAACTTAATGTAATGTTTAGACTTAATTGCATATTAATTGCAATGTATTAGTTTGAATTTATATTAAATTCAATTAGCTGAACTTGAGCAGCAATTAGCTGAATGCAATTAACTTTCTATGTAAAAATACATCTGTATTTTTTTAAGTATGGTTAGGTTTTATTGTTAAATATACTTTTATATAAGCTTGTATGCCATGTATTTAAATATATTTGTAAATACACATTTGTAATGATTAAAATATAATTTACTTCTAACTTCTAATATAATATCAAATAACACACTACACTTCAAATTAAAATTTAGTACATAAGTTTATTAAAAAAAATATTTAAAATGTAGACTTTAAAAGTGTACTGAAGTGAGTTAAAGGGGTCCTATTATGCTCTTTTACGAAGTCTTGATTTTGTTTTGGGTGTGTACTAGAACATGCTCTCATGCTTGGTGGTTCGAAAAATGCATTATTTTTCACATAATTTACACTATAACAATGCCTTTCTCCACAGCCTGGCACAAACTGCGCGATTAGTTCCAGGTTTGATGAAGGCCCGCCTTCCGAAAAAACGAAATGTGTTGTGATTGGTTAGCTGTCCCAGTGTGTTGTGATGGGACGAACAGCTTAGACCGTGTTTCAGTACTGCCCCGCCCCTTGCCAAAGCAGCAAGTTCCGTCTGCTCCGGTTTAGTTAAGGATGGTGTCAATATTGCCATATCAGTCTGAGCCGGATTCAGACCCCGAGAATATTGAACAAGAGGATCGCACAGAACCTTTGCACGCACGGGTATTGCAAGGTAACGCACATATTAGAGTGGTAACGTAATTGTTTTTTTTTTTTTGACTAAATTAGATAGGATGTCAACAACCACTTAAAAATAACTGCATTTACTGTGTACAGATAAGTGCAACGGTAATATGTATTATGTTTATTTTTCTTTAATTCTAACATTATAACATGAATTGCAGTGAAACTGTTATACAGTTGGATTTATTTATACCATAAGTCTCATAATTGAAGTGTAAATTCTGCAGATTACATCATTGTCCAGTATTGTACTGTCAGCAAATTATAAAAACGTTTTCATAATTGTAACATACATATTTACATACATAATTATTCAGGTGCATGTGTAATAACTTGCGAAAACATGACACTACAGCAGCACTACTTCTTCGACATCGTCTTGTCTGATGCACTCAACCAAGCGTCGACCGTAACCACGACCTCGCATCTTCCCACCCCCCAACCATTCGAATTTCCGTAGGCGGATTTATTTTAATGATATTCTAATGGGCCGCTTTGTGACATCACAAAACCCCCGGAAAACAACGTTGTAGTCCAAATGAGCCATTCGTTGTAGTTCTTGAAAAGGGATTTTTTTAAAACTAAATATCTCCCTTTGAAGTGGACTTTGAGATTTGTAAATTTATAGATCTTTTTTAATTTACTTTTAAGATTTAAAATACACTGCAAATGCACATTTAATACAATTAAGTGCACTTCTTTTCACACAGGTACACATCTTAATTATTTTAC